CCCATTGGCCTTCTTGGCAGCCAGGGCACACTGCTGGCTCATGGTCAACCTGTTGTCCACCAGCAGTCCCAGTCCCTCTCCGCAGAGCTGCTCTCCAGCAGGTCCACTCCAAGCCTGTACTGATGCCTGGGGTTGTTCCTCCCCAGGTGCAGGACCCTGCATTTGCCTTTGTTGAACCTCATCAGGTTCCTCTCTGCCCAACTTTCCAGCCTGTCCAGGTCACGCTGAATGGCAGCACAGCCTTCTGGTGTATCTACCACACCTCCCAGTTTGGTGTCATCAGCAAACTTGCTGAGGGTACACTCTAACTCTTCATCCAGGTCATTGATGAAGAAGTTAAACAAGGCTGGGCCCAGTACTGACCCCTGAGGGACACCACTAGTTACCGGTCTCCAACTAGACTCAGCGCCGCTGATGACAACCCTCTGAATTCTGCCATTCAGCCAGTTCTCAATCCACCTCACCGACCACTCATCTAGCCCATACTTCCTGAGCTTCCCTAGGAGGCTATTATGGGAGACCGCTTCGAAAGCCTTGCTGAAGTCTAGGTAGACAACATCCACGGCTCTCCCCTCATCTACCCAGCCAGTCATATCATCGTAGAAAGCTATCAGATTGGTCAGGCATGATTTCCCCTTGGTGAATCCATGCTGACTACTCCTGATAACCTTCTTTTCTTCCACTTGCTTGATGATGACCTGCAGGATAAGCTGCTCCATCACCTTTCCCAGGATGGAGGTGAGGCTGACCGGCCTGTAGTTCCCTGGGTCCTCCTTCTTGCCCTTTTTGAAGATTGGAGTGACACTGGCCTTTCTCTAGTCCTCAGGCACCTCTCCTGTCCTCCAGGACCTCTCAGAGATGACGGAGAATGGCTCAGCAAAATCCCCTTTTATTTTGCAGACTGAATCCCTGAATAGCATTCTCATTAAAAGTTCCTGATGTCAAATGTTCTTTGCTTTCTCCTTCACAACTGTCTGCATTATAATGAATAACTGCATTTAGGAGATATTTACAGCAGGCATTGCTCTCGCGCCATTGCTACAGACAGTGTATTGGCACTAGTGAGAGACCACGTCTGCGAGAGTTATACGAGCAAAGAAGGAACATGGTTAATTTTTAAAGTAATACGTGGAGTAGTTCAGTTCAGTGTACTACATCACCAGATGCAGACACAGGTTTGAATAATGATACTGTGAGCATTGCTTACAGAGATGACATTCTGCAATGCTGGATGCAGATCCTCACTCAAGAGCATCATTTCAGTGATTGTGATAACTGAGGATTAAAGAAAAATGCTTTAAATGCAAGGGGAATACTTTTTTTAAAATGTCTAATGGAACCTGAAAATACTAGAAAACCAAACCAAAAAAGTAGTCTTTGATAGCGTATCGAACATTTTTCCTTTCTGATAAACTGCTTCCCTGCTGCGCAGTATTTTCTTCCCAGCTACCCTAAATCTAGAAGCAAGTTTCCCCGCTGCACAGCTGAAGGGATTGAACGCATCCTGCTTTGTCCCCTTCCTGGGATTCCCCACAGCCTCCTGGACATGAGTGGGCACCTTGCCCACAGGAGGGATAGCTCTGTCCCATCAGGCCCACCCTAACAAGGGACCGACCCATTGCGATTCTGCATCCTACTTGGGAGCTAAGACTAAACCTCAGATAGAAACCTTCTCAGTTACAGGCACATTCTTGTTAGTGTACTTTTGCACATAAGAATTGCAGGATTTGGCTTTCTGTGGGTTTTTCAGATGGTTCTTTCTGATTTGATAGCCCTCCTCTTCAATAACTTTGCAGCTGTACTTAACTTCATGCATCATAATTAGTTCCACCGACTTCAGCAGCATTACACCCAGCTACATGCAATTAGGTAAGCACCTACGTCGTTGCAAGGCTTTCATTCCTTTTCGTGAAATTACACTGAAGCATCACACTCACGTTACATTTCTTACTTTGTCAAGGGCTGCCTTTTCCAATTCGTCTTTTGCAACTGCTAGTTTTTGCTGCAGATCTGTTAGCTGCTGTGCCTGTGGGAATAAAGAAGAAAAAGCTGACACAATCTACAATGCATTTTTTTCCCCATAACTTTTCATGCAATGCCTGAGAGTGAGGAAAGGTTATAAATTTTACAAGCAATCTATGTTAAATGGGTCAGAACTGCTTGCAAAAACAACTGGACTCAAGGGTTTGGTTTTTTTCCTTGAGAAAAAGTGTCTTTTTATGTGGGAACTGGGCTCAAATCTGCTTCATTCATGTGAATGCAAGTTTACTCTTTAATTTCAACATCAGTAGCAAAAGTAATTCCATGCTACAAAGTATTTAGAATTATGCCATAGTATCCTTTTGGAAAATTCAAAGTATTCAAAGAGTTTATATTATTTTGTTCATTTATCTGACTTCTGTTTGTAATATGAAACATTTTTTTTGTAGTTTTAAATCTTGAGATGCTAACATTAACGTAACTTGGCATAAACAAAGAAATTCGAAAACACCCAAAAAATCATGCATGTCCACGCCTTATGAACTGCTACTATCTGCTGATATAACAAGGAGTTAACTCCAGATTTATTTCTCCATCTCCTTCCTGGAAAGGAAAATTCACAAGAATTGCCAGTTATGCAACTACATAGAGAGCAAGCAAGGAATAAGGCACAGGTTTCTTTTTCCGTTGTATTTGCAAAAACAGCCCACTAGTTTTTTTCCCTGTTTATGAAGGGAACCACAGAGAAAGACACTGGACTAACCAGTTATCCTTTCTCTCTGAAATTCTGATTAGATAATGCACATTTTGTGCATATAGAACAATTGGATCAAGTTTTCATTCCTCAGTTAAAGAGCAACACATTTTAATTTTGACCAAACATTTGCAAGCACCCTTTCCCTCACACTCACCGGATTTCTGAAGTTCATCCCCTGCCAAATACCATTTTCTTGCCAGACTTTTCAAGATCCCATGCACTCTGCTGACTGTAGCATAGCTCAAGTTATAGCCACACACCATCAATGCTGCTTGGCGTAAATCCCACAAAACATGGTTAACCTGATCTCCGTGCTGGGGCAACAACAGTACTTCCAGCACATATCATAGCTGATGTGTATTGGCTTAGGCAAGCCTGTAGTCCTCAGCAGATACCTCAAGTGATGTTTATTAGGCATAAAATGAGTATTTGCACTAGGCATAGGCTGATAAAATGAAAAAAGCCTGGCATTTTCAGTTCCCTGCTCATGTAAAGAACTACTTAGTCACGTTTTAAAACAGAATTAGGCATTTATCTGTGGCTTTATCAGAGCAGCCACAGTTTTCTTAGTCAAAACCGCATACGATCAGGCAATCTTGCTTCACAGCAGAAGTCAATCATTTGCTCAGATGCGGGGAAGTCCCTTGTGAATGCAGTCCCCCATTTCCACTGCATCGTCTTTCTCACCCCTGACACAGGTCATCACCACCCACACAACACACAGACCAGACCACCGGTTTTGTTCCTCAGTCTGGCAACTGAGCACCCAATACAGAAAGAACCCTTCCATTTCATTAGAGTTTGCAAAATTCAACTGGGCTTTTCATCAGCTTGTTAGAGAAAAAACTAACTGACAAGAATTTTTCTAGAGTGCAGTAACATTTGTGTTTGTCACTAAATACACAACAAACATGGTCCCAGTCAATATTTGAAAGACTGAACATTAAGCTTGGCTCTATCTGATGCAGAAACAGTTCTCATTAGATACTAGAACTAGACTAAATAATTTCTCAATCATTAGTGTTTTAATTATTGCTACTTATTAAAATATTTTCACAGTACAGTTACAAAAGTTAAAACATTTTCAATTAATGAGAAGCAGGATTTGAAAAACAGTATAGATAATTAAATAATTTGAATTGCCATTAAAAAAGAAATGATACAAAATAGCATTTCCATGATAAATCAGAGACCAGGATGGCGTCTCTGATGGTCTGCATTGCTTAAGGATTAGACGCACATGGAAGACGACAGGTTGCCGCATGGTGCGGGCCAGAGAGCTAGGCAACTGCTCCATTCAGCACCAGCTGTGTTACGGTTTAAATCCGTAGAATACCAGAGCTGAAGGTATGAATTTCAGAGTGTCTGGTTTTCTTCAACACATGCGTTACACAGGCATCTGAAAATCTGGGTAGTTGATAAGAAACAGGTAGCGGTGGTTACAGAGAACTGCTGCTTCTTCCCTTGCAGGGGAATGTCTGGTCCTATATAATATGTTGTACTCAATGGCAATGCAGCTATATTAAAAATCAAGTTGGAGGAAAATGTTTCATTTCTTTAATTGCTGCCTGCCATTAGAAAGAAGTAGTTAATCTAACATGTTGTAGCAACTCTGCTCATATTCAGTAAAGCTTTTTCAGTTTATGGTGTAAAGGTATTCTTCCAAAGGACAGGCTCACATGTATTCATGAAGTCTTTCTGAATGCAACATTTATCAAACCATAATTTTTTTAGTAATGTTGTTATATTTTGATGGACTAACCTTTTCTGTAACTTTCACATATATTTATATTATTTCACAGATTACTGACCCAATAGGCCAGTGATATCAACCCAAGTGACACCAAGCGAGAATAAAATCCTGGCATTAAAAATGTATTTTTGATACACCACTCACTTGAAAGTAGTGATATTTATTTACATCTTAGTCCCAAACTGCAGAATAATCAATTTTTTTCTGAAAATTTGTGTCTATCAAGTCTGAATTCATATTGCAATAGTTCCACTGCTGTTTTAATTCAGAATTTTTTAGGGAGCCTAATTCAATTAGTGTGACTTGAATACTGAATAAAGAAAAAGGACAAAATACCAGTAGGACTACACAAGGCCAATTCTGATAAGGAGTAAAGTGCCTTTGAAAAGCATAGCCTGGAAAAACTTACAAATACTAAGTTACTCTTAGGCATTCTTCTAGAATCAGGTCTTACAGATGAAACAGTGATATAAATCATTTTTTCATGCTCTGAAAGAGTGCACTGAGCAATTACTGTCAGTGATGTACACTTTTCCAACTCACTTAAATGAACATACTCACCTTAACTTGTGAATCACATTACACAAATGTCCATATTTAAATTCTTCCAGGCATAAATATAAAAAGCAAAAAGACTAGTCTGATTTCAAGTAGATGGAGAGAAATCCAAATTGACACAGAAATTTTTTATAGCAAGTAACTGAGGCTAGGGAGAATTTCTACATACACATAAAAAAGGCGAAGGTAATGTCTGCATGTCTTTGGGATGATGATTTTGATTGTTCAAGAATTTATAATTATCATATCATAATAATACAGGTAAGTCGAGATGTTCATATTCCTCAAAGTCACCCAAAAGCAACAAAACAGGAGGGCAAGAAAGAAGTTTTGTAATCTGAAAAACAGTGGGTAGAGGCTTTACACTTCCCATGCTTCCTGAGTCACATTAGAAGGAAAAAAACATTCACTAGTGGTCTTTTGTGTACCTTTGGAAAAGTTTTGACTTTTGTTTGTTCTAAAACATTAATCCTATCAATGATCTATCTTGGGACAAATGTACCTATGTAAATACAATGAATAAATTACTGTTGGATTATATACTGTTGATAAAAATGGGGTACTTTAACAATAAGCTCCAAATACAGCTCCTTTAAGTATTCTTGTTAGTGTATTACTCTGAAACAGTAGAGCTAAACTTTCTTCCGAAACCTGGCTTTTCCACAGACATTCCTCCTCCAAGTCCTCCACTTTCTTCTCAGGAGTCAGACAAAACCTAAAGCTTCTCACTCAAGAGGAGAGTTACTAGACTCTTCCCGAAGCCACAGGTCAGCTAAACCAGGCTGTGATCCTATTTCTGTGTACAATTTAACAAACCCAACAGCACGATGGCTCATTGAAAAATTTCCTTCTCAGAATTCCCAGAAACAGGACCCCTCTGTACGATCAAACTCTGGGGGTGCTGTGTGGGGCAGAGGGAGGGGTGCCCAGCTTCACTCTTCAGTCTTATTTGATCCCAGATCTATTCCACGTTAATAGTGGGATATGAATTCCACCTGCAGAATAATTAGGGGCTAAGGTTCAGGAAGGAGGGAGATGGAGATGCACGGCTTTACAGCTATTACAAATACTGCAAGCTTGATAGCGCAGCCAGAATAATGTGTTTTAAAAATGCTTTTTAGCTTTTCTTTCACAGAAACTTTATACAGCATGTCAACGTGGAATCTAAAGTATATAGTGATGGCTTTTGCTGTGGGTGGTGGTGGAGTTTTTGTGTGTGTTTGGGGGGGGGGGTTGGTTTGGTGTTTTTTTTTAAAAAACCTTTTTTTAAAAAACCTTATAACTGCTTAAAATAGTCAGGAAAAAAATTACTCCACTTCCTTTCTTTTCCTTATACAAAATTTCAAAGGGTTTTTTTGCCAGAAAAGGCTAGGTTATGGCTTCACGTTAGAAGGGTTACTCACACATGCAGAGATGAGCACAGTCACGATGGAGTTTTCTTCACTTCAAGGCACAATTGGGATTTTATTTGTTTATTACAAAACTTTTAAAAACTTGTTGTATTTCAGAACAAGGATTGCTGTTTATCGAGGACAAAATTATCACACACTGCTTAATTAGAAAATATGATTAAGTGGTGTTTATTCACATATTAAATAGATTGGATATTCTGAATTCCATTTTTTCTCCACAGAGGCCTTAAATAAATGTTTAAGAAAAAAATATTTACTGTACAACTTTTTATTTTATAATTGATTATATTTTCTAACTAGGACAACTTTTTAATTGGAAATCATTTAGCCGGAAATTTGAATAAATTATCTGGTAAACACAATTCTACTGTGCTTATTTGCAAGCATTATTTGTATCTTGGAAAAACAGAGGCTTGAACTGTTTTCTGTAGCACAAGGTGTTAAATGTGACTGAGAATAACACTTTTTGGCATTTAATCAGATGTGCAGTAAAAAACAGACATTCAGCAACATCTGAATTATGTTTCAAGTACTTACAACAAGTAGAAAAGTCAGTTAAAAACATC